AACTTGTTAAAATAAAAATGTATTTTTTAAACATGTTTTAATTGATATACGATTATGTATATTAATTCGATAAAAGTTTAAAATGAAACATTTTAAAGTAAAGAACGTAAAGTAAATTAATTAACTAATTATAGGGGTATAAAGTGTAAATTTAAAATTATCTTGGTCATTTAGTATTTTAAGACTTTAAGACTTTTGCTAAATTTGCTTTATAAGATAGTATAGATATACAAGAAATTGCAAAAACCCTACCTGATCTATGCCTTCGTCAAGAGGAGCGGGAGCATGAATCGTCATGTTGGGGGAACCTAGAGGAGCGAATTATATGAGAAACCACAGATTAAAAAACCCTACATCCTGGTATGAATCATCATCTTGGAGCGTGAATCATCGTCTTGGAGTGTGAATCATCGTCTTAGGGCTGTGATCAGGACTGTGAATTGTCAAAGTTCATATATGAGTTTGTATGAGGTATGTGAAAGACTATATGCATATAAATGTTGTACTCTATACTAAAAACTTGTCTTTTAAGACTTTAAAACTTTTATAAAATCTGCTTTATAAGATAGTACACACACAAATATATATATATATATATAGAGAGGGTGGGTTCCAATGAGAAGAAAAGTTATGGTGAGAAATGTAAGAAGAGATACCCACTCTTGGATCAATCCTAATTGAATGTCGACATTAAATGAGGTACACCTAGATATACCAGATCAATTTATTTCTAAAAACGCAATTCATGGATGAAAATGAGAATAGAATTGATCAAGGATTCAAATCTCTTGTTACACTTCTCACCATAACTTTCCTTCTCACAGAATGATTCCACATTCAATGATCTAAAACCAACAGCTGCTGGTTATATACTACAAAAGATCAAATAACGCCTTACAAAAAGCATACATACATCGGCCAATAACATGCCACATTGGTTAACGTAACGTCAAAAACAAGCCTTATAACACGACGCACCACAACAGTTGCCATGACGCGCACCTTTTAGAAGGCCGAAGGCCCAAAACTTCATATAACAAAAGCAATCAATAAAATTAAAACACCCATAAAAATTTAATATCTACAAATCTTTAAAACAGACCCAAAAATTTAAGGTTAAACCATCAGCAATCTACCAAAGTCATAAAACCAAATCAAGGTATATCAAGAATATGTAATTCATCGTTCCGAAACCAAAAAAAAAAATGAGAAAATCCAAGTTAAATACGAACAAATCCCAACCAATCTTCAAACATATTCGGGGAGCAAAAAACGCGAAATTCTATCCCTCTGACCTCCAGCCACGATGCCGCCTCAAAATTTCGATCCAATCAAACTGCTAAATGCTAAGAAATTACCTGCAGAAATGGCGTATCTATACAAACAACGAATCATGCAATACTTCACTCCGTTCATCAAACCGCTCTCATTATTTACTGCAACCTGCAAAATCTGAGCTCGCTCACTCACTCAAAGATCTTGATTTGAAGATGTTGAAGATTTCGAATTCATAGACTGCTCGCCGGTGTTGATCTCTCTGTTAGCAAGAATGGATGAATCTGCTTCATTGTGGGCATCATTTGTATCGGTAGTCATCTTTTCGGCGGTTATTGACTCATCCAACGTGAGCTTCTGTAACGGAGTTTCTACGACCAAGCCATCTGTTGCTGCACGTGGCGAATGAAAGCTGGAATCAGCTGGAAACTTATTGGATGTTTTTACCCATTTTGTCCATTCGTTACGCCTCCTTACGGTTTCCCCCTGCACAAAAGTAGACAAATTGTCAGAAAGTTTTGTATAACGACGACTTAAAACAAAGTTATATAACACTAACATCATGGAACCTGAAAATAAATAGATTATATGAAGATAATGTGAAAGTTCGGTGAAGAAAACGTGAGATCAAAGCAGTTAGCACAAAGGTAAGACGTCATTCGTTGTTCTTGCTGACCTGTTACAATTCTGCTCAATTATAAAATGGTATCCTATCTGATTCACCACTAATATGCCCCTTATATTTTTTTCAGTTAATTTTTCAAGTTCCGTTTACGTCATTTTTTCAATTAATTTTTAGCCTATGTAAACAGTTATGCCATTTGTAATCACATTGACAAAGAAATCGACAGAAACAACTACAGAAATATTTGTCAGCCAAATACAACATGAAAAGCAGCCAGTAAAAAACCCGAAAAATCTTGTTAGTAGTTTATGAACTTATACAGGAGATCAAGAAATAAATATGCTCCAGTTAAACTACAAGCTTGAGAAGCTATACATAATTTGGTGTAAATATAGAGATGAATCAGGCATGTATAGAAGGTACCTGAACTTCAACAACCGTCGAGTCTCTCAAGGAATTCAAAATCATTTGAATGTCACTTGTCAAACTTTGAACCTGAAAATCACATCGAAAAGCGAAAAAAAAGCATCAATACTAGTAGATGACTCGAGTACAGCTGAACCAATTTTGGGTAGCTGATCGTCATATCCGCAAATATATTGTAGTTAAGATAACTAGACATTGTTATTTGCATTGAAAGACCATTCCCTCTTTGATATACAAGAATAAGGCAAACCCTTAGGGGTGCAGCTCAGCTGGTCAAGCCTTGGGTTTTCTCCCCACTGGTCACTAGTTTGAGTCAGCCACTGGAATTTTCCCTGCTGTTAACTTCGGAGCCCCATGGGACTAGTCGAGGTGCACCAAAACTGGCCCAGACACCATGGTTATATAAAGAAAGTTGTGCATTTGATTATATAAGAAAAGTAGAAAACACTAGCCACACGCTACCTAAAATTACATAAACCACACCAAATCAAACAGGCCTACTCTATCGCACATGGAGGTAGGGTTGGAGGAGGAGGGTGTATGAAGACCTTTCTTCTATCCCAAAGAACGAAGAGGTTGTTTACCTAAAGACCCCCGGCTTGTGAAAAATTGATTGTGATGTTTTTGAAAGCTTTTGAAAAAGCTATGGGAGCTCTTGAAAAAGCTTTTAAGAGCGCCACTCAACTTCGAATACCTTAATCACTCCATCCCATAAAAATGGCAATGGCTGAGAAGACATAAAGCTTAGTACGATTGATCTATTTGTTGGATGTCTAACATACCCTTGCTAAAAGAATAGTAAAATCTTCTCAAGCAAATCTATATCACTGATAGTTTGTAACTAAGAAAATGGGCAAACACATAATTATAGCTCATAATTTGTTGAAAAAGCATTGTAATTAGAGAAATTGTAAAGTGAAAACTTTGCATTAACTACCATAATAAAAGGTGAACTTAACATCATAATCATTGAGATGATGTGTGAAACATATATAGACATACGTACATATACCCCTCTCAAGTCAAGAAATGCGGACTCGTAGGAATGAAGGAAGCACACCAATCCATCCAGGACTTCATTATATATATATATATATATATATATATATATATATATATATATAAAAGAGAGGCGGAATCGTAGGAATGAAGGAAGCACACCAATCCATCCAGGACTTCATTATATATATATATATATATATATATATATATATATATATATATCCAAGAGAGGATAAAATTGTCAACTGCTCAACCCCTACAGAAGAGTACCCAACGAACAAAAACATGCAGTGATGCAGCAAAAGAAATCATTCGCCTATGTAGAGTGTAAATCTACCTTAAGATGGAAACATCAATAAAAAGACCTCGATCATGCACGAGAGGGAAGTAACATAAGAAAAAAACAACTCTATATAAGTTGGTCTCGGTACTAAACTATATTTATTTCCAGAATGAAGGGACAAAAACAACAAACAGAACTGTCAGTAAGAATCGTTTAGTGTTCCATCGTATAAAAAACTCAACTTTCAGGTATAAAGTTCTTGGAACATGCAAAAATTCACTTTGAACTCGTAACAAGTATATAATAGCACATATAAGATATGGTTTCATTTATCAGTTGATAATACACTGAACCTCTCTTCTCGCAGCACAAAAATTTAATGGATAAGAAAGCAGCACTATTTATGTTATGGGTTCATCTACATTGCAAGGATTCAGGTGCAAGTTTTGTGGGTCAGAAATTCAATAAACTATATGGATTTCAGTTTAGTGACATATAATACATAAATACTTAATACATGAAAAAAAGATATTATTTGTGGGATTCCCACATAATTAATGTAATTGTTAAAACCCTTAGCCCACACCAATCCCCTTGTAATGATCCCTATGAAGCTATTTATTTTGTGGAGTCAACAAGAAATATTATCTCTCAAGACAACAGTTTAGATCAATGAGAACTTCTTCATCATCAAGTGTAGCCCTAAAATTGACCACATCAATGTATTTGTTATATTCATAACTGGAATTACAAGGGTCCTATCATAAATTAAATTAATAAGAACAAAACTAGGAAAAAAACCAGTGTGCCAAAACAAAGGAAAAACTAATAGTCTGTTAAATAATATTAGTATTACTGCTAATCTTTTAATCATGTAAATCCTTAACCATGCCAGCCACTCACTACCATGGTCTGCTCTTGGATAGAAAACATACACACACGCATATAATACTGCATACATACCTTATATATATATATATATATATATATATATATTTGTCTGTACAGAGAGAACATGAAAGCAAGAAAGGAAGAAGAGAATCAATGAAAGAAAGACAAAAACATCAGTGACAAAAATAACATTCCAATTTATGGTCACCCTCATGGCCTTGCTTTCCTAACAAAGAGAAGGCACTTCCCTCAATTGGAAAGGCCAGTTATGAACAGTAAGCTATTAATTAAGACTCTTTAGGATTACAAATAACCATTTACACTTGACTCATAGGGGTAGCATTGACTAGCAAACAAACGATACTTCAATACCAATTACCACACCAAGTGGGATCAGCACATAAAAAGGCACATTCATGTAACATAGACATTCATCTTCTAATAAGTTAGTTGCAGTGACATCAGAGACTTCAATGGTCACCACACAAGATTGTTTTACCATACAGTTAGTAATGAATCTTGTAAACTGTACAGTAAAACAATCAACAATGTGAAATTCAGGAGCTTACTGGCCACAGACTGTAAATCTTGCTCCCCTGCCAATATATTTTACATTCCATAGCTTTGGCAGATTGCTTCTGCTCTACTGAGTTGCAACAACCATTACGATGTCTCATCCTCATTTTCATTTTACAAGATAACTTGACTCATGAATGATCATAGATCCATAGGATACAAAATACATTTATGGAAGTTTCAGATTCGAGATGATGCACTCATCACTGACACTGTGTTCTCAAATTTGGGAATAAAAGAAATAGAAAGGAAGGGAAAATAATGGAAAGGTAAATACTGGAAAGAAAATAAGGTAATTTTATTCGTGTTCTGAAAGGTCTGGAAATGAAACAATTTTTCATGTTCTTGAACCGGAGACAAAGGAAAGGAAACGTCATTTTTACAAATATGCGCTTTATATTTGTTTTTCTCATTTTTCCTTATGAGGACCCTTTCTTCCAACATTTGGGATGAAAGTTCAAGGAGAAAACATAAATGATATTTTCCCTCCTATTCATTTCCTTTCCCTCCTAAAAAGTTTACACATGGTATTTTTGTTTCCCCCCCTTTCCATCCCCTTCCCTTTCTTTTCCTTAAAAAAAGAATTCTAGAACACTCTGAAACTGTGAATTAGCACCATACATAACATGTCTATGTGCATATTAATGGCTTTTATGCATGATGTAGAGGCCCAGCAACAGCAACTTACACTTGACGTTTCTTATTGCAATATTATCAACAAAATCATCATCACATATAAAACACACAGATGGTGGAAAAGATTTTCTTTGCAAGTGATAGTTCTTGCATTCGGCGGTAGTATCGTCTTCCTTTCAAAACTGTGAAACTTGCATATTATAAATTCACACAGGTTGAAGTCATGGCAAAAAAGTAACAATATAAAATAGACTCGGTAAATTGATCAATAACATCAAAAGGCACATAAATTTTCAGACAATAAAGAGAATAAGAACTAAAAAGAAACATGACACATTAAGAAAAGAGAATAAGTTTAAAAAAAAACGTTTCATTTGAATAGAAAAGGTAAAAACCAGCAATATTCTTCCTTTAGGATCTTTCACAGACACAACATAAATAATTTTATACGAGCATTGGCCACATATGTGAGGCACCAGTTCAACCAACCTCTCATGCTCACATAATTTAATAAAATCATTACTGTTCCATTGCTTGGTAATTGTTCTTGGTTTAAAAAACAAAATGATTAAACAATGTGATCTTACTTCATGAATAGCATTTTCGCATTAATTTATTATCTTGAGTTATGATGAAATTTATAATTTTTAATCATATTATGATCCTTTTCTTCATTGAGTATCTCTGAGTAAAAATTCAAACATATAGCCATCAAGTACTCCATCTTCAATTTTAAACAAAAATATAGATTAGCATTCCTCTTTGCTCCATGATAAATAAAAATATTACTTACTCGACGAAATCCAGCAATTAAAGTGACAGGCACCCAACCCTCTTCATCCATGTTCGACCTCAAATAATTGTCTTTCACCAAATTAGCATCACTGTGGAAAACAAGTTTCATTAGCATCATTGTGAATTGTCATATAAGGTATACAATTATCATTAACGAAGCTACAATACCTGAAATAGTACTCAATTTGAGTTAGTATCAAAACAGACAATGATGGATCCATAACAGGGATGAACATAGAGGGCGGAGCTGCACGAGGGAGAAGAGGGGCACCCCTATAAGGCTCTGGAGGTAGTGTTGGAACATAGAGAAACGGTGCTGCCATCTCTGCAGGAAGTTAAAGAAGTTAATACTGATTTCTTCCAACCAACCAAAAAACCATACCAAACTGTCGTCTACCCAAAGAGTAGATCGATTGTATCAATGAAAACCCCAGCCAGGTAACCCTAGACACAAAAATTTGGTACTAACTTGCAACCAACATAGACTAATATAATCATAGTTAAGGACTCACCATAACCCATGGGGGTTCCATATGGTCTCATGGGCTGAGGAGCAATAAAAGGAGCAGGACCCAGGTGAGCTTGTTGCATATACCCCCTAGGTGGAGGGGGAGGGGGAGGACCCATTTGATGTGGTATTGCACCGTGACTTCGTGGACCACGCCAATCACGATCATGGTGATCTCGCCTGCCTCCATGCCCATTGTTAAGATAGAGTCCTCCATCCTCGCGAGGGCGAGGACCAAAGTTATTCCTCTTTCTGTTCGAAGAGTGATCGTGAATGGCATTCGAGTGGGGCCCAACACCACCCATCGGTCTTGGGGCAAAATTGTTGCCATTATATGGAGATTGTTCTCTTACTGGAGAATCCAACACTGCTGGTACAAAACTACCATACGGCATGTCGAAAAGAGGGAATGGCGGCATTGGCGGTGGAGGGGGTGGCGGAGGCCGATTGTAGGCACCCCCTGCACCTCCACCTCGTTTCATTGACCTTTGCCGGAGATTGTGGGTATGATTTTGATTAGAATGATGGCTTGCATTAGTTTTAACAGGTTTCTGCTGTGGTTGCAAGATTATAGGTGCCTGTATAAAACCAATAACAACACACAATCATGAAACTCATAGAAAGCAGTAATTGTGGCTTTCTGTTCTTTCTTTCTTCAGAATTTGTAATTATCAGTATTGATTGTATCTAAAATAGTAGCACGATACATAATATATATATATAATAGAAACATTATACCAAAAACATATCTAATAGACGATAACGGAACCACATTAACGAACCTGAGAGACAGTGACTGATCCATCAGATGTAGGTTTAGAAGATGATTCCGATGGGAACGACAATGATTTCGGTAACGGCCTAGTCAATTCAGAAAGCGCCGGCCAAGAAGCAGCACCCATGACAGGCGTATTAGTCCCATCGACGACACCGTTTGGCGAGGGTTTGTTCCAAGCCGACTTCTTTACACCACTCGCATTGCCATTATTACTACCCTCCGAACCCTCCATGTGAGTCTCCACCGCCGCCGCCGTCTGCGGCTCCATTACCGTCAACTGATCAGAAAACACAATATTTTGTTCCGTCGATACAGACGAAGGCGATGCAGACGGAGAGCGCGGAGGGACTGGGTCCGGCTCACCTCCTCCGCGAACCACTTGAGCCCACGGCGCTGGTAGAGTCGTCCGCTGGGAATAACTGTTAGCAACACCACTGATGGCTCCTTCCATGGCAATGGATGAATCGGATGTCATTGTGTTTGTAAATAATTGATTACTTTGCAACAATGAGGGTAAGGTTTGATTGAATTCAAGAAATTTCACATTGATTATTTAGGGTTTTGTAAAAGAGAGTGATCGAGCCGTCGCCGACTACAACAACCACCACTAGGGAATTTGATCGGAAAGTGAACGAGAAAGGGAGGGGTTTGCCGAGGGCTTTTGCGACTTTATAAGGCCCATTCCCCTCTTCTTAATGGGCCTTCCGGATTTCAACATTAGCCCAACGCCAGGGGTATTTTGGAAAAGAAAAAATAATCTGTTTCCAGAAACTTCCTGAGTCGAGTCAAGCCGAGTCAAGTAATAACGAATTTAACATTAGCCCAATGCCAGGGGTATTTTGGGAAAGAAAAAATAATCTGTTTCCAAAAACTTCTGAGACGAGTCAAGCCGAGTCAAGTAATAACGAATTTAACATTAGCCCAACGCCAAATCTGTTTCCAGAAACTTCCCGAGTCGAGTCAAGCCGAGTCAAGTAATAACGAATTATGGGTTTGGCTCGAAAAAATCTAATACTCGGCTTGAACACCATACGAGCTCGAATGATTTTTTCGTGATAATTTTTAAGCTCGAATATAATATTAATATTTAAGATCGAATCAGTTGTTAATTTAGTAGTTTACGGTTTCATTTTCAAGCACAATTAATTCATTCATGAGCTCGAGCTCGAATAAACCTATTTCTTGACTCGTAAACCTTATTTTTAAATACTGATAATCTCAAACACCGCAAACTGATTTATGCTAAACATAGTAAAACTAATTCTAATGAATTTGATGAGTTGTTTGTTTACCTCTTAATAGTTCCATTAAGAGACAACCTTTGAATCGTTAAGAGGTGAATCTTGTTTGGCAAAAAAAAAAAAAAGTTTACCTCTCAATGGTTCTAAAACTCTCTGAATGATTTTGTATCTTGGATCTTCATTAACCATTAAGAGCCCTAATTTCATTGTACACAATTACCAAACAATTATATTTCATTTTGCACTATATCATGAGAACCTCTTAATCATTCTGACCATTTAATCATTCTGCACCAAACCATTTAGCAATTGTCAAACAGCCCCTGAGTTGTAATATTCAAATTTGCAACCCGTGCATCAACTGAAACAGACGACACAACCTAAAGAATTCCTCCTGTTTTATCGTTCTAACAGAGTATTTGACACTTTATGATATAAAAAATGGTAGATTGTAGCAAAATAAAATGTCTTATTTCATTCATACGATTATATTATGTTTCTTTAACCGTGTAAAAAATCGTAGTACGTTCTCATAACTACATCAAAGATTTATGAAGTTTCTAGAAGAAAAAAGTTTTCTCAAGTATATTCCGAGAACATCAACACGACATAAATTCACGTCAACACGTGTATAAAACTCATTTCCTCGTAAAAGTCGTATACGCTATAAAATGGAAATACCTGGAAAACATAAAAGAAAAAAGAAACTATCGGATTGCTTCCTTTAAAAGAGAAAGCATATCGTAATCGAGATCCTAATCCCTTAAACTTGGAAACACGTTTAGAATTGTACTCGGCTTGAGTAGGTTTGACCGAATCTCCAGTTTGAAGGGACAACGTTCGAGAAAGTTTTTGTCACTCCATCTGTTGTCGTGATCATGAACGACATTGATTGGCCATTCAGGTAGGCGTTAGATTGCCAGTTAGCCCCCCAGTTGCTTGACATGGGCGTCCAACCGGTTCTTGACCCCTTCACACGCACTGATCGAATCGACCCAGCCCCACCGACATTTGTGATCAAAACAAGCTCAAAGTAGTTTCTTCCGTTCACCGTAAACCGAACTCCGCCATGTTTCTTACATGGTACCCTAAAAGACCATAACACAAAACACGATCAACAAACACATTTTCACATCGTGCAATAAATTGAGCGACTAGTGGGAACACGTAGATCGAGAAAAAGGGTACCTTTGAAAGATGACGGGAACGATCCCACCTTTGTAAATGCCGATTTTCTCCCAAGCGGGTTGAGCCATATCGAAATGTTGGAGGGGCGGGTTGCACCATCCGCCAGCATTATTCCCTTGAGCATAATTCGGCGGGCAAAAGTTCGTAGCAGTAACAGTCACCGAGACTCCTTTCTTGCACCATCGAGAGTCGGCCTTGTGATCACATATGATCTTGTAGCATTGGCCACAAGCCGCACCCTGCTTGAACAGAGCCGTACTCAACGCAGCCGTTCTAGTACCGTACCCGGTCGAGTACAAGTTACCATACCCACAAGCACCCCCTACAAACCAAGCAAGTAAACATCATCAAAACTCACAATTCAAAATCCCCAAATATCCATTTTAAAGATTCCGTTGCAAAAAACAACCGATCGTCAACATTTATGTTCGAAATCTTCAAAATCTTTATTTTCTCGCTCATCAGCAATCATTTCCAAAATCTTTAAAATCTTTCTTTTTCTCCGTTTTCAAGATTATGTTAAAAATACTCTAAAAACAAACAGTCATCAACGTTCACATTCTAAAAGACAAATTAGCGATACCCGTTTTCTTGGATAACGTAAACTCAAACGTTAACATGAAAAACAAACGGTTCGAGAACATACCCATTGTTCCGGAAGCATCGCTGCCGCCATAGAAGGTTGCATGAGCTTTGATCCATCTTGAAGCAGTGAAACCATGAACATGAACAAGAAGATAAGAGAAAGAAGCCAGTAAAAGAATGGTGGTTAGTTTCACCATTTTTGGTTGCAAAAAACAATGAGAAAGAAGAAGGTATTGCAGGTGATGATGGTGATGATGATGATGGTGATGATGATGAAGAGGATTGAAGGGGGAAATGTATCATATTTATGGCATCACAAGGGAAGATACCAAATTAAATATATCATCTATGGAACATATTCACATGTAAATCTGCAACTCGTAGACTCTTTTTCCATTATAAATTCATTTAAATTATTGAAGATTTTATGAATCTTATTCAATTATTCACACATTTTATCCCAACCATTTTGACCATATTCATAAGATGCATATTTAAGTCGGTGTTCACATAAACAACATGAAAGGGGAGGATTTGCATAGGCATGGGAATTGGTCCCGACCCATCGAGGAACCCGGTCCACCCGCCGGTCGGGGTCGAGGATTCCCTGTTAAACCGGGTCTCGGAAAACGGGGACGGTGATCCCTGTTTGGCTGAAACTGGAGATGGGGACGGGGACGGGTATTGCACACCCGGCCCGGCCCGGCCCGGCCTGTACCCGTATATATATATATATATATATATATATATTGATTAATAAAATATATTATTTATTATTTATTTTTATTAAACCGATAAATGATAATTTCTATTTCAATATATTTTGGAATATTACTATATGTGGTTTTGGATATTATTCAATATGTTTTGATACATTTGACGTTTTAATTTTTTTAGATTAAATTTAATTTCTTTTGGTTTTCGATTTATTAATTATTATATAATAATGTATATTTTTGTATTAAGTTAATTTTTTTTTGATTTTAGGTTTATTGGAAAAATGTGAGATTTAAACATGTAGCATCTCACACATTTGATTTAAAAAAAACTTACGCAAACGAGAAAAAAAGTCCTCATTTCCCCATTGGGGATGAGGATGTGATCAAATTCCCCGGTGGGGATGAGAACAGGGTCTGGAACAAAGATGAGCGATCGGGGATGGGGCGGCCCCCACTACCATATATAGATTTGCATTGTATTCTTAAGTTTGTAAACATGTTTAATTTTTTATATTACAATTTATAATAAACATATTTGATTAAATTTACAATATGTAAATGACAAAAATATTCAAACTAAAAGTACAATACTGTAACAGAAATTGGTGATGTTATAATAAAGTAATTTTGAAGGTACAATATTATAATAAGAAATGTCATGTCAGCAACATCGTACATGTGGACAGCCTACATGGACGATTAGATGACAAACAAACCTGATATAATGAGTAAATTTAATTTAAAAGGTTCAATGCTATAACGGGTAAATTTTTGAAACTACGATGCTCTAATAAAATATTTTGAAAATACATTACTATAATAATAAAAAACTGAAAGAACAATACAATAATAAAAAATTTATAAAAATAAGTTTTACCCTATTTTTCAATTTTATAAAAACCGACATTTTGCATGAACCATTAAATCACGTGTATATATATATATATATATATAAAATAGAGGAATCTGTTGGTATTCATAGCATCCAGCTCTGAACATGGATTTGCAGAGATATGCAAACATATAATTTCATATCTTTTCTGGATTATAATTCAATATCTTTTATTATATTATCAAATATTTATTTTATATATTTTAAAATTTATGATTTATTAACTTTTTTTTTACAAAATCAACAGATAAATATATTCAAATATAAAATAAACAATACTGTAATATGACAATATGATACTTTACAAAATTTTAATTCTTTTAAGACGATGAATTCACTACGATAAAAAAATCGATCCTATAAGACACCAAAAATATTTAAGTGTTCTAACAAAGATGATGTTGTAGTCATTTGGTCGGCTATCTTTTTTCTTACATAAACCCGTTCATATATCGTATATGCGGGTGTTTAGATAACATATATTTTTATAAGCTCAGTTGGTAGGGCATTGGGCTTTTAACCTACTGGTCGCAGGTTCAAGTCTCAAGCTTACCTTTAATTACTTCTTTCACGACGAGAGAACCGTGACAGTCGCTTTAAAGTGAATTCTCCTTGGATACATCTATTCAATTAAATTATGGATCTATGCCGATTCCGAATATATGAATTGTGCTAAAAATCCTACTTGAGGAGATTTGAAAATCACCGTCAACACTCAACACCTCAGTGTAGGCCCGGGATACTCCTTGGGCTGGGAAACTTAAAGGTTGATCATCGAGGCCAAGGCAATAAGGATGAAGGAATTTGAGCGTTAGGGGACGGAAGAATTCTTTTCCAAAGGAGGTAATTCGTTTGGAGCCAGAATAAAGCGCCCATAGAAATGACACTTGTTGTCTGCTGCTGATTCAAGGCTAGTGAAGTGACTAAGGGGTTGTTTGTTTACTTCTTAATAGTTCCATTAAGAAGCAACATCTGAATCGTTAAAAGGTGAATCTTGTTTGGCAAAAAAAAAATCTGTCTCTTAATGGTTCCAAAACCCTCTGAATGATTTTGTATCATGGATTTTCCTTAACCATTAAGAGCCCTAATTTTAATGTACACAATTACCAAACAATTATATTTCATTTTGCACTATATCATGAGAGCGACTTAATCATTCTGCACCAAACCATTCAGCAATTGTCAAACAGCCCCTAACTCTTGGAAATTGGGAAGGAGTACCAAATCGAGGCAAACTCTGAATACTACATATGACCTCAAAATAACTGAGAGGTCCATTACAGATCAGAAATTGTTGAAGAAACAACAAGATCAGTTCGGACATACTAAGCTCTATTTGATAGATTGGACTCCTTTATCATATTCTGGGTCGGAGCAATGAATCGATTTGAAGTGGCTCATTTCGTACCAGAGAAGCCTATGTATAAACAAGGATTAATTTTACTTCCCAACTTTATAGGACTTAGGTTTGCAAGATCAAACAATAAATCATCTTATCTAAAAGTGTTACAATAAGTTTATAAAATGATTTTGAACGTTTTAACAAGTTTTTTTAGAACATTATTAGAATAAAACGGCGTATTACTTATTTTATGACGTTTTTTGAGAAATATTATATGAACACATCGATATCTTTTTATTAGAAACTTGTTTTATAAGAATTTTTTTGTACAATCTCATATAAAAAATTAAGGCCTTGTTTGTTTTTTTTAAAAAATGATCTTATCAGCTTCTTATATCTGATTCGTTAAGAGGTAGGATCATTTAGACTGTTTATCTTTTTCCAATTTTCCAAAGACACTTATGTTTTACTTTTCTCTTATCTAATAAGAGGTAAACCAACCTCTTATTTGCCTCTTATTGTTCCCCAAACTCTTAGCAATGACGTTTCTCAATCGATTAATCGATCATTTCTCTCAATCGATCATTACCTAATCGATCCTCACTTGTCCCGATTGATGTATTATAATAGGATTTAAATGTGTTAAATACCGTTAATGACATATTTTCGTTTAAATGAATGCTAATTATATAATATAGATATAAATTCCATAATGATAATGAGTAAATATGTGAAATCATATAAAGTTATCTCTAAATTCAATACTATAATTTTCTAATGGGTAAAATAGACAATTTAAACAAATTCAGACATTTATTAGTTTACAAAAACAAGCAGTCTTATTGATTCAGATTTCAGCACCACCTCTTATTAATCAGAAGTGAAATAAGACTTCAAACTTCAGCACCTCTTAAAAAACAAATGCCACCTAATATAACTTTTTTATTACAAAATTATACTAAAAAAACTTATTAATACACCCAAAAACTTTGTATAAATTTATTGTAACATTTTTACGTATGACGTTTTATTGTTTAATGTTATAATCTTAAACTATATAAATCAATTTATTAAAATATTTATATATTTTTAACGTCATATAAACTCAGTTTTATTTTAATATCATATATTACAATCACACAGATATATTTACTAATTTATAATTAATTTTTTTATAGAGGGGAAGGTTCTTCTCTGAATAACAAAAATAATATTAATTTAAAATGGGTATATAAACAATTTATGGATTTTTTTAATTGAATTAATATTGGATCTGAATGAAGTTAAAATAATAGTAATAAATAATTTATGTTAATTTGGCAGTATTTTAAAAAGATCTAAAAATAAACCCAAAAAGGGCATTAATACTCCATGTTTTCATAAATAAATTATCATTTTTTTATACTAGAAGGATACTCGTACAATACAGCGAGATAAATCTTTATTTCAATATTTAGTTTTTATTATTTATCTCTATCGATATACTACGATTTTATGTGGTTTTGAGAAAACGCTAATGTTTTTTTTAATGAAATATAAATTTGAATATAGCATAAAGATTTGAAAAAAAAAATCGATATTAGTATCAAATTACCTATTTAATAGTTTTCGTTTTTTTGGTATAACTTCTTTAATTCAACTTTTTATTATAATTTAATTTAGATTTAATAAAAAATAATTTATTTTTGATTTAATAATATTTTTTTATAAAGATAATAATTAAACATTCTGTTAGAACTCACTGATTATCTTAATTATATTTTAGGTTTTCTATATCGAAAATGAATGTTTATCCTATATCTGATTATGTTTATCTGCAGTTAGTTACACGAATTTAAAGATTACGCAAAATTACTTGTAATCTTGAATTTTAAGTAATATGCATCAATAAATAGTACTTCATGTATAAAAAACGGGTTTTAAGAGTTTTTGTCAAATGCTTTATAATATAGTATAGATAGAGGGGAGACCCCTCCTATTAAGGAAAAAAAAAAAACAAAAACACTAAAAACGATAGCTTATAAACGATAGTTAGTTACACTTTGGTTTGGGTTGGATTGAGTTAAGATTTTTCTAAACAGCAAGCATTGAGTTGGGTTGTTCAAATGTCCTCAACCCGATCAACCCAACCCATGAGCACCCCTAGCTGACGATGCTGGTAGAAATTATTTGTCCTACCTTCCCTATAGCCTTAACACTGATCTCATGTGCTCAATAACTTCATTCCTAGTCTCTATGATACGC